ATTTTTTTCAATTTTATCTAAATATCTAAGGGACCGATTCTGCCGCATAACAGACCAATTTTATGGGAAAGCTATGTTATGTAGAACTTTCTAAACAAAATAGTTCTAAATATTGTCAAAAGCCATGTGGTTGCTGTGCAGTCAGGCGTTTTGATCAGGTAGTCTGATAGAAAACCTAACCAAGAAACCGCACAAATGTCAAAAACATGTTTTTATATAACAGGGTCTTTCTGGCCCAGCTTCATAACATTCGAGTCCCGTTGCCAATTATGTGTAAAACGCCTGAATGCACAGCAAGTACATGATATTTTGACAGTATTCAGTATGATTCAGTAGCATATTGTATGAAAGTTGGAGCGTAGCATGGCCTTGTCATAACGTTGGTCTGTTATACAGTAGTTTCATTTGATTAAGTCAATTATTGCACATTTCGAAAAGTTCATGCAACTTGTCTTAATAATTGTGAAATTAGAAAATACACACAATCCTAAACTTTCACTCTATCAGTAACCCCCATCTTGTAATAGCCATTTAGTAATTAAATTAGTTTTCATCCAGCTTATTTATTGAACCTGCTCTGCTATGAATGTGCATGTGTGTTTTCAAACCGCCCAATTGTGTAAAAGTTCTATTGCAAATTTGGCATTCGTGAGGCTTTTCTCCATTATGAATTTGCATATGATTTTTTAAATTACTTGATGAAAGAGTACTTTATTACATATTTTACAATCATAAAGACGCTCTTCTGAATGAATAATCATGTGATTTTTTAGATTAATAGAGTTTGCAAATGCCTTATTGCATTTCTCACATTTATAGGGTTTTTCTGCAGCATGAATTCGCATATGATTTTTTAAATTGCATGATGATGGAAATGCTTTATTACATATCTCACATTTATAACAGTCTTCGGAATGAATAGCCATGTGAATTTGTAGATAACCTAATTTTTTGAATGTCTTATTACATATTTCACATTTATAGGATATTTCTCTAGTATGAGTTTGCATATGTTCTTCTAACTTTTTTGATGATCGACACCCTTTGTTACATGTTGCACATTTGTAAGGAAGTTCTCCTGTATGAATAAGAATATGAGATTTCATATCAGCTAGTCGTGTGAATGACTTATTGCATTTTTCACATTTATGGGGCTTTTCACCAGTATGAATTTGCATATGTTGTTTTAAAACCTTTGATGAATGAAACCCTTTGTTACAAGTTTTACATATGAAAGAACGTTCTCCAGAATGAATGCGCATATGTATTTTGAATTCTTCCAATCGTGCAAATGTTTTATCGCATGTTTCACAAAGATGTCTTCTGGTATGAGTTAATGCATGCTGATTCAAAGTGTGCACATTTGTAAATGTTTATAACAAACCTCACATTTGTAAGGTCGATCTTCAGAATGATTAAGCATGTGTACCTTATAACTCCTCAATTGTCTGAATGTCTTGTCACATTTTTCACATTTATATGGATGTTCCCCTGTGTGAATAAGCATATGCTTTTTCATACTACTCGGTGTTGTGAATGCCTTATCACATATTCCACATTTGTGAGAACGCTTACCAGCATGAGTGCGGCTACTTTGTTTTTGTGCATCAGATTCATTAAACTTTGAAGTTTCTTTCATGGTATTATCACAATCGTGCTGATCTAATACATATTTTGTTGTGAATATTTTGTTACAGATTTTGCATGCAAAAGGTGTTTTTCCCCATAAGCGGGTTCCTCAATTAATTCCTGTTTGACTTCTTCCTCAATTGTTATTTGGGAATTCATGAATCTTTCTAAACATGTATCGTCATCTTCAGAACACGATTCAGTCTTAACAATGTCATCGATATCGTCACCTTCAAAACATGATTCAGTCTTAACAATGTCAGCGATATCATCATCTTCAGAATATGATTCAGACTTAACAATACCATTGATATCATCAAATTCATCCTTGATTTCGCATTTAACGTCTTCGATGGGAAATTCTAGTGGTTCAATTTTAATTTTCAGATCATTGGTAGAATCACTTGTTGCTTCAGACATTTTTAGATATTTGCAATGCTTACTTTCAACAAATATAAATTTATATAGTTCGCCTAAAATATTTATTATTACATATTAATCAATGATCTTCTTAAATGTTATAATGAATTTAACTATTTTTATATTAATTATTGGAAATAAAAACATTAGTACTTTGACATTTGAGGTTACCTTTGAAGCATAGAGATAGTGTATGTTTTTGTAAAGACGAAACACTTAGCATCTGTTTAGATTCATAACAATTAGGGGGCGCCATTAATCACGTGAGGCATAGATAAACTAGTTGGTATTGGTATTTTGCCTTGAGGCAAGTTATATGAACTTCCCGATATGTGTAAATAATCGACTTAATCAATAAAAAATAAATTAATTTATGAGTGTTTAAAGTATTCCGAAGTGGATTTATTATACATAATTGAAATCGAACGAACACGTTAACTCGGAATATTTTCTAAAAGCAAATTTTTAAAAATCAATAATTTTTATAATTGAACCAGTTTCCGTAGGACTTCAATGGTTTAGTATATTCATTAAGATCAAGTACTGTATCGTTATACCAAGTTAATCGTCTAATTTTAATTTTAACAAACGTCAAAAAAACAACTCATTTTCTCAAACTTTGATGAATTTTTAAAATTAAACTACTTGTCGTAAGGCCGTAATATTTTAGTAAGTTCCACAAGACCGTGATATATATCGCCAAAAAAAAGTTCCATAAAAATTGGTTTGAATTTTTTTTCCAACAGTTAATTACAAGAAAACGGCTCGGTAGATTTTCGCCTAAAACTGATCAGTATCATTCTCAATTTGATTAAAATTTTGACTTTTTAAAATTGGTTCGGTAGCATTAGCTTAAATGTGGACGAAAGGTTTAACACTTTTTGTTTTAACAACTGAGAAACGATAATCCTCATCGAGATACATCAAATGCTTTTTAAATATCTGAAATCGGTTCAGGCGTTTTTGAGCAAACGTCGATAAAAGTTCTAATTTTGACAAATGCCAAAAAGGCCATACTAATTTTTGCAAACTTTGACGAATTTTTAAAGCTGAACCAGTTGTCGTAGGGCCGTAATATTTTAGTATGATCTAGAAGACTATGGTATCTACCGTCAAAAAAATAATCATAAAAATCGTCGAATTTTTTTTTTTTTTTTAAACTTTATTACAAGAAAACGGCCCGGCCGATCTCTACCAAAAACTAATCAGCACGATTCCCAATCAATATCTTTCGATCGGTTTTTGAATTTTCAAAATCGATTCAGAATTGCGGGCTAAAACGTAGACGAAAGATTTTTCTGCGATTTATAAAGAAACGGTTCGGCCGATTGTAGCGCAAACGATAATTGAATGCCTTTTAAATTTTTGAAATCGGTCCAGCCGTTTTCGAGAAAACGTCGATTTACGGCAAAAAATCTGTTCCCATACACACACATACACAAACACATACTTTTTTCAAATTTGGTCTCATTCGATTCAGAATGGCTTGAAACGTCGAGAAAACATAAAATTAGCGAATCGTATTTTTTGATGAAAACATAAACTTCTCCTTCGGGAAGTTAATATTGTTTTCACAACTTCACTCATCATGGAATTGTTTGAAGAACTTCATGTAATTAAAATTAAAATACATTCATTGACTGCTAGTGTTTTTTTTTTACTTTTTCGCTGGCGATATAACCCCATTCTTTGAACAGCTGTAATTTTTGTCTTGTCTAAAAAATATTTTTGATTTTAATAACTTCAAAGGTTTATAGAAACTACGAATAATGTAGAAATAATTTCTAAGCAATTAACTTACTAATCATTAATCTTATTAATCAATATTTTTAAGGAACAGGGTAAAATATTCTTGTGATTCAGCCATTTTTCATTAAATTAAAGTAAGTTATAGTAATCATAAATAATAATCGTCCAAAAATTGAAAAAGGAAATTTTGGCATATCTTTACGTTTCAGTGGTTTCTGATCATTTTGGCATACCTTAGAAAAAGTGGATGTACGTGTGTGTGTATGTGTCCACAATTTTTCGTCGACGATTTCGGGCGCACGGATTCCAAAAAACATTCATTTCGATGGGTAGACGTGCTGATTAGTTTTTTGACAAAGGCTGATTTAGCAGCTTTAGTGATTTGGTGCAAAAATGACAGTTTTTAAGAGATCAACCGATTCGTATTGCCAGGGAGATGTGCTGGTTAGTTTTTGGCAAGATCTCGGAGATATGGAGGAAAAAGTGTGAAAACGACATTTTTTGAGAAGGCGGAGTATCCGATTCGAATGATTCATAAAATATTTTGCTTGTGTCGTTAGTGTGAAGAAAAGATGAGCTTTTGGGAAAAATATTTAAAAAATAATAATTTCTAAATATAAAAAAAATGTTATAATTTCACAAATGTTAGATACAAAATATACAATTCGAACGTCATTTTTGAATTTTAACCCTTTCCAGTCGGATGCCGTCGCTCCGACGGCAAAATACATATGAGTCTCGCAATTTGTGAGTGGAAAAGGGTTAAATTTTTAAAATTCAAAACAAAACTAGTTCTGTTCAGAACATACGTGGTCTATATTTAAACTATGCTAATGATTTTTTTGTAACTAATCTACTTTTTTGGCCTATAATATTGGCCAACTAAAATCTTTCAAAAAGTTCTTGAATTTTGAAAATATTTTCAGAAAAAAGATAGAGCTATTTAGATAGATAACTAGATAAATAGAGAGATAAAAAGATTTGGATTGAAGGCAAAGAATGTGATAGAGGGAGCATCATAAAAGTAAATAGTATTGCACTTATCTGCTAATAATGAAAAAACCGTTCGGACATTTGTCTTGAAGACACGTCGAGAAAACAAAATTAGCAAATCGAATTTTCTGGCAAAAACATAAACTTATCCTTTAAGAAGTTAATGATGAGCATCAACTTTTATAATCGTCTCTTTAATCTCCCTCCAGATAATCGTTCCAATGCAAGAAGTGTTCTGCCGCCAAATGGGTGGTCATCTGAGGCGTGTAGAGGCTGCCCCAGGACCCAAAGATGCGACAGGACCTCCTTTAGCTTGGGGAGTGGCATACGATCGAACACCCTGGATTTACACTGGTGGATGGGGTGGACATTTTCTTAAAGGTATTATTATCATAAACAATTAATAAACAGATTAGTTAGTAAACTTTTTTTATTCCTCTTCCAGGTCTCGAGCCTGGTACAGGTGGTGCCATCAACCCCATGTCTGATACTCAGACTTATTTTGTGTACGAGAACCAAAGGTGGAATCCTCTCAGTGGATTTACAGCAAAGGGGTTACCTACTGATAGATATATGTGGAGTGATGTTACCGGAAAGTTAAAACGATCGAAGGAGCATACCAGATTACCATCTGTCCGATGGCAATGGGTCAGTAATAATAGATTATTGAACTTTTTTTAATAGTTAATGTTATGGTTAAGTTATTTTATTGGTTGTCAAAGTGGTTTGTGTCTTGGACCCCTTTTACCTGTGCCATGGACTCTTTATTTAACCGATATCAATTTTTTGTGATGGATCTTTATAATTCCTGTTTGTTGACGTGGGCCCTTTGAAAGTTGTCATGGATTCCTGGGGATTCACATGAACCACTTTGAGAATCACCAAATAACTTATCTGGTATAAAATATAATGCTTCGGGTACCTCAGTGCGTTTGTGTTAATAAAAGTAGGAAGGGGTAGGAATAGGAATAGAAATTGGTTTTTAGTGAACTCGTGTTATATCTTAAAAAACAATAAAAAGTAAAAAAGAGAGAGAAAAAGGTAGAATGAAAGAGGGAAGAAAGACTTGGAAACAATAGATGGTAATAGATGGGGATAGATGGGGATAGATACATTGAAATAGACATAGAGTTGGCGATAGATAGATAGAGATAGCTAAAGAGATATAATATGGATAGAGATACATAGATAAATACGTCAACGAGGCACTCGAAGACACTGGAGTTTTTTTGATTGGAGGAAGAAAAATAAAGTCCGCTGATGATCTAGTGATGATATCGAAAAACCAAACCGAACAGACTCAAAATATGATGTCTACAAAACATGATGAGCAGAATCGTCGAAGTGGGTGGAAGTTACGGAATGGAAATCAACGTCGACAAGTCGAAAGTGAGGAGAATCACGAAACAAGATGAGCTCCTGAGGATAGCGGTAGGAAATCTAGAATAGGATGTCGTGAATCATTTCAAATACCTTGAAAGCATCCTGACCAGAGACAGATACTGCACCAGAGAGATCAGAACAAGAATTGCAAGCGCCAAGGCGGCATTCGCGAAGAAGAGAACGCTACTGACGAACAAACTGAGTCTCGACTTGCGGAAGAGATTAATAAAGTGCTATGTCTGGAGCGTAGCTCTGTATGGATCAGAAACATGGACTCTAAAAACGGACGTCAAGAACTACTTGGTGAGTTTTGAAATGAGTGTGGAGGAGATAAAGTGGACATTACGAATGAAGAAGTCCTGAGAAGAGTGGGCGAAGAAAGGACTCCACTGAGCACAGTCCTGAAAAGAAAAGAAAACTGAATCGGATCCGTCCTGCAAAAAGAGTGCTTCCTGCACGACGTCGTCGAAGGTAAAGTATAAGGACTGAAAGCAATGGGAAGAGGAAGAATGCAGATGATTGACGACTTACGCAAGAAGAGAAAATTCAGGGAACTGAAAGCCAAAGCACAGGATCATGAAGCATGGAAGCAGAAGTTTGGAAAGGAAAATACAAGAAAAAAGAGGAGGGAAATCATTTATCTGTGGTGGACCTGCCTTCAGGCAGACTACCATTTATTATTTACTATTATAGATAGAGAAAAGAGGTTAAATAGATATAGTTAGAGAAAGGGATTGAGGGAGCGCCATAGATAAAGATCAATATTGTTTAAAGTTTTGTTAAAAAAATGAATAAAACAAAGTCAAAGCCAACTTATAACATTTTAAATTGTTACAATAAATCTCTGCGAATCGGAAATATAGACTTTCACAGAAGGTACTCTACTGATGAGCAACCTAAATAGAAAGTTGGACAAGAAACCTATAAAATAAACTTCACATGTGACAAGAATCATAAACAATAATCAAAAAACTACTGGCTCACTAATGTTGACGAAAAGCTACATTTTCAACGTGGTTTTCTACAGAGTAGAGACATGGACTATGAAAAAAGAATACTACTGACGTTCAAACTGAGGAAGAAGCATACAAAATACTCTCTGCGAATCAGATACATGGACTCTGAGAAAAGGAACTTTGCTGACGAACAAACTCAGTCTGGATTTGTGGTAGAAGCTGATGAAGACCATTAGGCGTAATCGAGAGGATTCACGAAACATTTGGAGATAAGCCAAATTCTTTCTGTTTTAAATCACAAACGTGACTGTTTCCTTGAAGCGAATTGACTTATTACTTTTTTTTGCTCTTTCAGCTTAAGTTTACATTACACTTCAGGTACTAATCAATTTCTTATCAAGGTGTCAGATTGGCTCGTGGACCATCAATGGAGTGGTTGCTCTGACGGGACAACTCTTGAAATGCTAACATCTGGTGGAGGAGGCGTAGATTCTGCAGGATGGCGTTACGCTCCTGATTTTCCAGCCAGGAGGTAATAAAGGAAATATTTCTGGCTTAATTTTTCCCTGTTTCCGTCTCTCTATTTGTCTATTTCCGTCTCTATTCTCTATCCAGTATTCTCTAACAAAAATTGTAAATTAGCATTAAGAAAGTTTATCAATAAGAAAATAAATTTGTAATTAACAAACATATGATTTTATTTTAATAATTTATTTTTCCTCTAGGTATCATCCTCAAAAATCCTTTGCTGACTGTGTAAGACGTAGAAGGTGGTGTAGAAGAGCAAGACTTGTATCTGCAAGTGGCCCCTGGAGGGAGCTCGGTGGAAGTGGTGAAGTCAAAGTGTTAGACGTAACAATCAGAGTGAGTACCAGAAAGTTATGATTGTATTGAATTTGATGTTACAATTTTTTGTTTTGCTCCAGGTTAATAAAAAGGATGACTCGATACACATCTGGGCTGTGTCCGCAAATGGTCATGCTTTGTACAGGAGAGGGGTCACTAGGAGCACCCCAGGGGTAATTGAAATATTGATATTGTTTTAAAGCTTTTTAAAGTTTTTATTTAAAATTTAATCAAACTGTTTTCGTCATATATTTTTCTGTTTAATCTGTGATTTATTTTATTTATGTATTGAACCTAGTTGAAGTGAAACTTCTAATGTGATTTGCAACAAGTTTGCATTAAACGTTGAACGTTCTAGCGTTGTTAAATATGTTATCTGCACGTTTTCACACTTGCCACTTTATTTTTTTCTTTATTTTCAAGTATAACTTTAACTTCCATTTTTGTACATAAGATAATATTGTTTTTTGTATTTTACAATTTTATAATTGCAATATTATTAAACTTCCTGTAGATTAAAGTAATGGGCATATAATCGAAAATGAAGTTTTTTACATTTCTTCGCGTTTCAAAGGTTTCTGAACATTTTGGCTTACCTCAGAAAATATTGATGTGTGTGTGCGTGTGTGTTTTGTGTGTATGCATTTTTTAGTCCACGTTTTCGGGCGCACGGATCAACAGATTTGAATGGTTCAAAAAACATTCGATTCCTATTGATAGGGAGATGTGCTGATTAGTTTTGGCAAAGGCAGGTTCAGCCTTTACAGAGATACGGAGCAAAAGATTTTCATTGCAATTTTTTTTTAATTCAAAAAAAAAATTTTTAATATCGAAATTAATTCAGATTTTCAAAATTGTAATTTGATACGGGAAGTTCCAGCAATTTAACTCAAGGCACGATGCCATACACCACTAGTTTTATTTATGCATTGAACCTATTTGAGTGAAACTCTTAAAGGGATTTGCAACAAGGTTGCATTAAACGTTTAACGCTCTTGGGAAGTAGAAAGAATAATACACAATTCCAGTAGAGTGTGAGTTCTTTTTTATTTATTTTTGATAATAATAAATTTATGTTCTTATCTAACTTTGTTGTTAATATCTTTTTTGCAAGTTTTTTTATTTTTTTCAACGCCACTTTATTTTCTTCTTCCTTTTCAAATATAACTTTAACTTATATTTTTGAATATTGTGATAATAATAATTTTTATTCTGCAATTTGTAATGACAATATTATTTTTTTTAAGTCTTTCTCTCATTCATCTATCTACCTTTTTCACTTCATTCATTTATCTATTTATATCTTTAATTATTCGCTATCTTCATTTCTGGCTAGTTATCAATTCTTATATCTTTTTATATATTTATCTTTCTCCCTTTATTTTAATTTATCTACCTTGCCTTTTTATCTCTTTTTTCTATGTATCTGTATGTCGTAAATATTTCTATCTCCTCTCCCTTTTTCTCTATTTCCGTATCCATCTCTCTTTTTCTATACCTCCGCATCTATCTATTTATCTCTATCCTTTCCTTTCTCTTTCTCTATTTTTCTCTCTGTCTATGTATTTATTTCTGTTTTATTATTTTCTCTACCTCCGTCCCTATTTTTTACTATTTTCGTGTCTCTTT